CGTTTTTAGCGCATTTAATTCGTTTATGAGCATTTACCAGTGTATGCACACCTGCTACGCGCCATGGTGCACGAGTGAATATGTAGGCACGCAGAAATTGCGTCGATACATTCACTGTTACACACACAGACACAAAAAAAAATCAATCGAAATTTGCATGGATCCGCCTAGCTTCTTGCTGAACGAGCGCTTTGAGCCGCGTTACATCTTAAGTGGCCACTGGCGAACTACAAAGAGAGAAGTATCAAAACCGTGATTAAACCATACGCTTGTTTTGTCGGCAGTTTCTACGATATCCAGAGCACAGTGTTCCTCATATGAGCCTACATGCGCTCGACTATTTCACGAGAAACCCGAGTATAAGTAACGTTGTCACAACATTAATCAGTGACGACTCTGTTTTACCATACCAGTTTTGTCGAAGATAATAATTATTGCTTTCTGAAAGGCTTAATACATAATAAACTTATTAAAACAACACACAAACATATTAAAAAGTGCCAATGGTATATATGGACCGTCTGTTAATCTGCGTAAATTCATTGTAACCAGTTCTCATTTTGTATGGACAACTTAAATTGTGCTGCTTTCCAAATATTCTAATGGCGTAACGTCATTGCAAGCGAGCGAATTTATGACAATGTTTTGTATTATAAGCATTGTTCTATTATTAAGTATCAAAAGTGCAGGCAGACAGTGGTGCATCTTGTTTTAAGAAATTTACCTTCCTTGTATATGTACCACGCACACACACCCACACACACACACACGCACACACACACACACGCACACACACACACACACACACACACACATATATATATATATATATATATATATAATATATATATATATATATATATATATATATATATATATATATATATATATACTGACGCAATGCCCCTCAGCACAGCTACTATGTTTAGGCGGAGCATTTCTCGTCCGACTACGTTAGACTTGACCTAGTTTCCAGACCTCATACTGTCGAAAAGGTGAAACTTACAGTGCGCATTTGTAGAGACACCCTATATTCAGCTTCGATAACTCTAAACCATTGGCGAGGGCTCCCCATGGCAGATTTCTTTTTCTTTTTTTCTTTTTTAGGGGGTGGGATGTGCAGCAGAACACCTAACTTTAGCACTTGCTGGTCACTGTAAATGCGTGTAAATATTTTAGTATACTCTGAAAAGTTAAATTACGAAAACATTTCGCGGTGTACGGGGCTCAGACTCTCTTTCTCTCCCCTCTTTACTTGTGGATTTCAGGTTCTGCGTGCATGTGACACAGTGTTTGTTTTGTAATGTCACAGCTATCTGCGCACAGATTACATCAAATAAATCGGCTCAGTTATTCTGAATATTATAGACGCCTCATTAACGAAGAAAGTGATAAAAGAGAAAACATCAATATAAGACACACCTTTTCTGAATTATTTTCGATCACACAAGGCCCTTTATGAAGCTCAAATTCAGTAGATTGGCATGTCATACTTCAAGGGCTATGGCATCATGTGCTAGACATGATTGATGGGCAGGTACGGAGAAATCTGCATCAAGAAAGCGCGACGGAAGAGCCGAAGCTCATGGCAGCTCTTGCACGCAGCGCACGGAACTTTCAGTACTAATTGACAGCAGCGCCGCCGCTGCGGGCAATGCGGAAGGGATCAGGCGGCGAGGTGCAGTCCCGCTACTCAGCACTTCTAGTACACTCTAACCGGATGGACTGAAATGGCTGCAAGGTGACCTGAATTGGATTGCAATGTAGGGCGTCGCGACTTTTCAGCATCCGGACACTTAGGCAACATGGCGTTTCCCACTGCCACGGTTACAGTGTACTACAATACTTTCCAGTGGCGCGTCCGTGCCGCGCTGCCTGACGCACGCGGTGGTAGCAAAGCCACCTAGAACAGGTGGCGCTGGGTGGTAGCTGCAGCGGTGGCGCTGCCATCGACCACTCTTGAAAACTCGCCCTGGCTCTCCTTGGCAGCGTACGTGGAACACGAGAGTGTAACGCTTGTTGGGTGACGCGCCGCCGCTGTTTTACCCCTATTGTGGCTCGGTTTTCAATTATTCTTCGCGTATTCCGTAACCGTAATGGTATGTTTTGCTGTATGATTTCACGTTCCTCAACAAAAAAAAGCTGGTAGCAGTAGAAGGCTAGACGATGCTCTGTATTTTTCCCCTTCGTGCAGCATTCATGCATTGTGGCTATTTGGCGAGCATTAAAATATTTGAAGCAAATGTTATCCGTGAAACCAAATATCCACGTGATAATCGTCATAATGAAAAACATAGGGAATGTCAACTATAAGGGACACGTGCACTAAACTCAGGCACGATAATTTTTAAAACCCATGATACGTACGAAAAAAAAAACGACTTCAAAAGCACTCTCACTGTCCCACTCGATTTTATTGCACGTGCTTTTCACTTGCACAAAAATTTTTTTCGTGCACCTTGAATGCACAAAGTTAACGGTGTAGTCTACTTAGCTTCAGGTGTTGCACTGCCTTTCTCTTTGACAGCACGTTTGCCTTGTTCAAGCCTTTGATAAAAAAATGAAGCCGAGTGGTGACATAAAAGCTGACTATGCAAGGAGTGAGACTGTTGGCGTGAGCGCTGCATCCCACCTTCAAAGGAGCGGCACAATGAATCATGTGCAGGATGTTCATTACGCTCTCCCGGTGAACTTTTCGTGCACTAAACAACTTGTGACATAAAGTGGAAGAGTTCGACCGATGGCTAGAGCAAACCACCTTGATCATTGTGGCGCACAAATTCTGCCGCATGCAAGCGGCGCCCTTCTTCTGTTGGGAGAAGAATGCTGTCATCGCATGCAGAACACTTGGTGGGAAGCACGCTCTTTCTCGCCACATATCCGGAAATGTAATAAGTCAACCTTGCGTCGCTTCTCTGGATGTGGTATTTATGTTCCACAGCTTCACTTTCACATGAGCCTGAAGGTCCCGCTTGCTTTTTAGCGCAAAGCTTCATTTGGTCAATCAGCTGTTGCTTTCGAGTTTCTTCCCTGTCCCCAACATCAAGAAGAGAACTGATGACATCGCCCTCTGCATTCCCGCCTGCAACACTGTGTGCCAAATTATAGAAAAACAGACAGTGAACAGTGAGCAGGAACTGCTGTGGCGTCGGGTATGAGTTGCAGCCGGAAGAAAGTCTCACGATTCCGAAAAAGTTTTCCACTTTATCTTGGCTCAGCCTGGATGTCAACAAGTAGCGAAACCCATATTTCTCACGCAAAGAGCGGAGGAGCTCTACAGTACTTGTCAAAGTGACTCTTAAGCCCTCAGCACTTGACTAGCTGAGAAACTTCTTATCAGCATGACGCTCCCAGGAGTCCAGGAAACTGAGCATTTCTTTAATGCTTTCTTCACTTGCAGAATTGGGTCTGAGAGCTTCGGCTGTGTACCTTGCTGTCATCACAGCAATCAGTGACTTCATTCTCATGAAGAGTTTCTCTGTCGCATCAATTTTACCGCAGATCCTTTCCAACTGAGTACGATAAAGAAAAACTGCTCGCAAAGGACCATGCCCAAACAACTGGAACGCATAACTTGCCCGCACTTTTTCGAAATTGTTGGAGCTTATGTGGATGCTGGTAATCCCCGGCATTACCTTCATTGTGACTGCATTACTGTCAAATTTGAGAGCTTCTCTTGCAAATTGCATCGAAACTTCGCCATCAGGGGTGTCAAAAGTTGTAGTAAGGAGCATGTTTCGAACATTCTTGACTAAATGAGGAAAATAAAAAAAAAGTGTAGGAACCGACTGCTGTCAACAGGATGTAGTTTTTTGCGCACCACTTCCTTTAAAGGAGCTCTAATGTTAAAGATACGCCAGATTTTCCGATTCCAAACTGCTTCATCACATGTTATGTATCCACACAGAGGCCGGCTCTTTCTGCTGGAACTGTGGATTCCAGAATAATTTTGGCCAACAGGTCCCCTTTCACATTCTCGTTGCTCCTGAAAACACTAATTATTTGTGTCCAGCTGCCAACCAACGACACAAACATTACGACGAGGCCATGATTGCATGCCAATGATTTGTCTTTTTCGGGCGTATACGGTCCGAGGTCCACAAAGCCTTCAATGTTCGCACCTGTGGTAACAGATAAATGTTCAGCCAGTTTTATTTCATCGATTATTAATCCACCATGTCGGTGGAATGTATCAGTGGGCAACTTTTTTTGCAACACACTCAGCATCTTTTCATTGAACCCATAGCCGCTTCTGTACGGAGCGGTGTACTTACGGAGAGTTGTGTTACTTGGGAGTGCCAAAATGTTGTCTTCGCATATACTGGTAGAGCTTCGGGCTTCTCATTTTGAGTAAAATGCATTAAAGCATCCATTCTTTATCGTATGCCCCGCAAGCTCTTCCTTTTGGATCAGTAACGTAAAAAGTTGGGCGAGTTGGTGCTGGTTCATGATGATAAGGGGCGCGAAAAAAACGACACACAACAGAGAAGAAGTACACGGGACGACGCGCGTCGTCCCGTGTACTTCTTCTCTGTTGTGTGTCGTTTTTTTCGCGCCCCTTATCATCATGATCCTTTTGGATGCCTCAAAGCACTGCCTGACAGCGAGCTGCTGCTTTGGCGACAACAAACTTATCTTTTTAGCGAGTACTTCATCAGCTGTTGCAGCGCACTCACTTTTGATTTTCTCGATGTGTAGGGGTGAGCTTGTCTACCTTCAATAAAAGTCGTTGATTTCTTCGGGTACAAGCTTGCGGCTTCTTCGAAACACGGCTACGGCACAGCGAGCTAACATTATGACTGTTCAGGCTCCCTCCTTGACGCCTTTTGAGGTGCCACTGTCACCTAACAAGGGCTTTTCTTGCGTATTTGCAAACGACGCAAGCCATTTCTTCTTTCGTTGCCCTGCCTTGGCAGTTAGTACTGTAAACTGCTCTGCCCTCGCACTTTAATTTGGCCTTGCAATTTCATTGTTAAGTTGGTTGTGAGACTGCTTTCAGCTCACACTGCTGCGTCTTTGCATATATGGATGTCATGGGCTTCCTGCAGAGTGATTATAGCATCTTGAATTGTTGTCACTGACGCGGCAGCCACCTGTTTACCACACACGAACGTCTTGGAGTGCAAAGCACCGACACTGTTTGCAGTGAAGAACACGGCTTTTTCCACAGTGACTTCGCCTGAAAGCGAGTCGAGGGAACATGAGGTAAAGCACACTCCATCGGCGTCGTAAAGTTCATGCAGCGTCCAGCGCTTCCCGGGCATTTTGATTTCCATCACCGCAGCGACAGTCACGGCCGCAAAGACTTCATTGCCATTCGAAATTTCGTCGACATCTGTCACCTCCGCAATCTCCCCACGCACTTTTTTCTGTTGTGGGACATCGTCATCGCGCTTCCTTCTTCGCTCATTTCTCTACGGAGTGGGCTGCTTGCTCAGGTAAGCTGTTAAGTTCGTCAAAATTGTGGGGACTGCGTCCGAAGTGAGCGTAGGCGTCCCACGTGGAATGCGAACTTCCTCACCATTTATGCGGTGTACGTAGTCCCTCACAATAAAACGCTGCTCAAAATGGAGTTCACATACCGCGCAGTCCGTGGTCAGCGCCTTGTCTGCTCTATGAAGGTTTCTTTCCCACGTGGATCTTCGTTCCGGGTCTGCAGGTGCCTTGAATTCTTCGCACTGTTAGTTCGCGCGTACCCTGTGCTGCACCCTGGAGCGTGGCAGTGATTGGGGCGTTGCTTTCCACTCATTGCCGCACGTGGCCACGTTCACACGAGAGTACACGCGTGGAACACAACCACACAGAACGAGAAGCCACCAAGAACACCACTGAAATGAGACGCTCACGCGTACACACGTGTGCAAAAACCTATAGCTCTCAAGAGTAGCCGACGACAGGGCCGCCGCTTTGGGTGCCATTCACTGTGACGCGCGAAGCAAGGCGACGCTCCCTCCGTTCATCGCACTGAATTCTTCTAGTACACTGTACCACGGTTCTTCGTCTCGCTTGTGCGGAAGCTGTAGCCGAGCAGAGGCGATGACGTGAGGTAAGAAATGCATTTGAAGAGTTCAGTGAAGAAGAGTTTCAGCAATGTTTTCGTCGGTCCAAACAAACAGTGCGTAGCTTGTGCGACGAACTTGACCCTATCATCGGATGCTAGCGAGACTTTCCACGGAGAGGAAGCTGTTTTTCCCCACCGGTCTATCGCTTCCAGAGGAGCATTGGTCGCGAGGAACACATCGTTATGTCTCAGCCGGCGGTGAGTAACACCATCCACGAGGTGACGGAGGCGATCTTCACCGTGGCTGCTAGGAAAGGGGTGATGGACTTACCACTGACCACAGTTGCCAAGGATGAGGCTAAGGCGGAGTTTGCGCGACGTGGTTGCATCCCAGGCGTGCTGGAGTGTGTCGACGGCACGTTGGTCACCATTCGCAAGCCAGAGGGATACAGCCTGGCCGACACGGCAAGCTTCATGTCCAGAAAGATTTATTATGCCCTGAACGTCATGATCGTGAGTACCGTTAGGATCCTTTCTTACTCGCCCATCGGACGTCAGCTTTGACGTCAAAGCTGGAAAAAGTACTAATTCAAAGAATAAGAGAGAACCTGCGGAGAAATGGATGCGTGCTAGTGTGTGGCTCGCATGGCCTCGGTTATCATAAGTGGCAAGTGTTTGTGTGAGTGAGCCAGTTGTCGTATTTTGTGTTTTCGTTCTGGCGTGCATGCGCAATAGAGTTGTGCATTTTGAAGGTGATCAGAATGTGGGCTGCAGTCATAGCAGAATTATATAAACGATAGGGAAGTATCTCAAACACGAAAGTACTTACAACCACAATTGCATGGGCTAGCTGTGGTATTTACGAGTGTTCTTTCCCAATAGCATGGCGTAGGTTTTCAATTATCGATCATTCAGTGGAAGTCGTAGCCATGTGTACAGGGGAATGTTCATTGCCCCCTTCCCTCCTCAGTTGCTAAACCCTGTCCCTGTGTTCCCCTCTAGGTGAAACTGCCTGTACCAATGACTGTTGTAGTATGCATTGTTTCCGGCATATGCGTAGCAAAAAGGGATTTATTCGGAGCATAGATGCAGTACAATTTTGTATCACTCCTTGAAGGTGTGCAACGCGCGGCTGCGCTTTCTTGTCGTGGACCCATGATTCCCAGGTTCGTGCCACGACTCCTGGGTTTGGGAACACAACCTTCTGCGTGCACGCCCAGCTGCACAGCTGCAACCTGCCGAATATCTGCTTGGTAAGTATTAATGTCAAATAACTGGGGTAGAGCACTCAGCCGTCATTTTTCTATTGCAGGAGACGCAGGGTATCCCCTTTAGCCATGGCTCCTCGTTCCAGTCCCTGGCAGTCACCCCGGCAACACTTCCGAAGGCCGATCCGAAGGCCGATACAACAAGGAGCTCGCATTCATGCGCAATGTTGGGGAAGATGTATAGGAGTGTTGAAGAGCAAGTTCCGCTGCTTGCAGGACTTTCTGATGCTCTACAACCCCGATAGAGCAGTGCTAATCATTTATGCTTGCGTTGCTCTCCACAACATTGAGTTGGACGCGGGCGACTGGACCTTGGATGAGTATGTTGGGGACATGCCACCAGCTTAGGATGACGATGGGGAGCCAGGAGAGAGCCATGTGCTCACACCGCACAATGTGCTGCTCAGAGGACAGCAGCAGCGCAGCGCTGCCGTGGGCCTTTTTTCAAGTACACAGGAACGGAAAGCTGTCATATCACACACATAATTTATTCATACTAATTCAGTGCACCTAGGCATCACAGGGCCGTGTTAGCCACATTTGAATACACGAAGTACTTACTCGTGCTTCAACATGATGCATGGTGGCAATGTGAAAATGCTGAATTTTCTTTAAATATGACATGAAATAGGCAACGGAAACACCCTTTTCCATATCAGTGATCACAGTCACAACAGACTAGATTGGAGCAAGCATATATGAGCGGCACCTTGTGCTGAATGTTGCCATAAAAAATTGTGGAAACAATGCAGCAACGTCACACAACTTCTTTCACCGAAACACATAAAATTGCAGTTAAATTAAAAACATGTTGCAAGAACGCATGATACATAGATCCGTCTCTTCTCATAGTCATTGACTACAAGCATTCAGTTGCACACGCTAGGCTTGCCGAGCACAATGTCGTGCCGGCTTCTTGTTCATTGTCCTCAACATTGTATAAATATTTTATAACATTTCATTTGATTTGAATTCTCGACTGCAGTTATACTGCAATGCTACAAAATACGTTATTCAAAGCACGCCACTCGCTGACTACAGGTTGTTCGAAGGCTTGCTATGCCAATGGGAAGTGGGGGACACTATGGCAGTGGCAAAAACTAGAAGGGACATCGCGCTCCCCAGTCCTGTATTCCTCGCCTTCTCCCGCGCCTTTACCACCTCTCTTTCGTTTCGAACAGCAAATCAACTTGCCCCGAATGAATATTCCACCAAGTTGCAGTGAAGGGACTACAAACCTTGTTGAGACGCTCGCAGAACGCGAGGGAGACAGTTAATTTTGGCCGTGTCCCGGAACTCGTAGACGACCATGTTGGTCTGCACCATCGTCAGGTCCTGGCCGATGTACGGGTTACCCTGGAACCTGACGCCTGGGAAGAATTCGATCCGCACGGGAGTGCTACGTCCAGGTTAAGAAGTGAAAACTATGCATAGTATGCATGCGACCACGACTCGACGTATTCCCAAAGTGTCAGTGTTGCGTGCACCGTCGTATGTACCTCTGGCGAGTCTCTGCGCGTTGGCGTGGTCCTCGTGCACTCTCGGCACTATGGTCTTGAGCGCCACGAGTCCGGCTGCCGCCACGATTCCCGCCTGGCGCATGCCCCCGCCGAGGCACTTGCGAGCTCTCGTTACCCTGCACGAAGTATGCGCCTTCTTATAATTTGCGACAAGAGCTATCTGCATACGTTATGTATCTATAAAAATAATACAATCGACGTCAACTATTATTGACAGCAGTGCGGAAGCTATAAAACCGAAGTGCATGCCCGCTACTACGCCCAGAAATCAGCACTTCCATGTACTGATTATATTCACATCGGCCTTGCTGAAATATATGCTGCTGTATTTGTTATGAGACTCAAACAGTTGCGTAAAGACGTTGGTAAAGTACACTTATTGTTGACTTTGCAAGAATATCTTCCTCTTTTTTCGATTTCTTGGACAGCACCAACTTAACAATAACGCGCCCGTTTTCCCAAGTTAACATGGCGTCCATGACTTAGTGGGTCAGCGTGTGGCCTCAAACACGCTGTTTAGTTCTCCAAGAACAAACATACTCGTAATATGATATGCTAAACTATACAACGAACCATCAAAATGTTTCTGCCATTCACATTTTTTCCTTGTGTAATTGCCTAGACTCGCTAACGATGCGAGCGAACGAAACCGAAATCAGCCTCAAGCGGCCGTACTAATTTCGGAGGAACGGGAATGTGCAGAAGCTCCCCCTCCTTGGCCTTCGATCCGCTGTCAAGATAAGTTGTCGCATAGTATAGCAATAGTGTATATTCGACGATTCTGACAAGTGCTTTATGCCGGGGTACACCAAGACTTCAGTGACATACTTCTGTGAGGGAAATGACGTATCGCTCATTTTAAATTATAAAGTCGAATACAATCTATAGGCATAGAATATAAATTATGGACAATCTCCTCAAAGGGCGCAGGCAGCAGCGGCGCGCGCGGCGTTGACCCGGTTGAAACAGGCGTCGACGCGGATGCTGGAAGAACGGTTTGAAGCGATTCTCGGTGTAGCGTTCATTGTTTGAAACGCAGGCACGGGAGACGGGTTGGGCTTCCTGTAAGTTTCATCGCAGAAAGACTGCTCGATGTGTGCTCGAATGTTGCGAGCGGTGGAGAGGGTGAAGAAAGAGATGACACGCGGTGATCGAGCGGCGATAGGCTGGGGAGAGAGTGACGTCAACGCATGCGCACTGCGAGGGAAGGCGTGACCTACATGGCACCACCCCAACACCTGCGGCTGGGAGAGCGAGGGTGTGGACGGGGGGACAGCGCTACACAGGTTACTCAAATGGCTGCTTCGCATTTGAAACTTTATATAAAATAGCGCGGAATATAGACTAAACAGCACCACGTCATTGAACTGAAACGATTTTCTTTTGCGACGAGTTTTCTCGGCTGAAAAAGTAGACGAAAAGATAACTTGCCACCAGTGGCAGGTTATCTTATCGACCACTGGCGATCTTCGAATTAACATTACAATTACATTTAATAACGTCCCCTATACTTCCGCTGGCATTACTGTCAGTTTTCATTAATGTTGTGTCTAACAAAGAAAATCCCTTAACTTTACACTTTTCTTCATGCATAACAAAACAAAAGTCATTTAGCCATTAGCGAACTAACCTACGTTCTCTTATACTCGCGTCACAAGTCCCGTATTACTACCGTTACGCATTGTTCTCTCACGTTCTAGTGTTTGTATAATAGTATATGGCATAACGGCTCTCTTCACAACACCTATGTGATTTATCGGGCCCTGAGTTTGTAACATAATTGATGGATTTATTTAAGAGCACCAAATATTACAACTGTATACCCTATTCTATACACCTTATCAAAACAGCTCCCTGTAGATCGCCATAATTCCCTGTAGGTAGAGGTCAACACGTGTGACCCCCCCCCCCCTCCAAATAAAAGCGCACTTTCGGGGTGTCGCGACAGCTTCTCTACTCCCACAACTAAGGTCAGAAAGGAGATGCTGTCCTTCTCAGTGAAGAATATTGTAAAGAATTTTCACTCAATAGGAAAAACACCTTCCTTCTGGACAGCGGCACGCGAAAGCAGAGGATGACGTGACTGGCCCAGACGTGTGTTGTACGGGCGGGGGGGGGGGGGCGGGGTCACGTCTGTTTAACTTAACCGGCGCTGCCTCAATCTACAGGTAATTATGGCGGCCCACAGGGAGCCTCATCTGGAACGTTTCATGCCGAACTTCACGGAGAATGACATTAAAAAGAATGAGGGAAATACTTGGTGCGACAGATGCACGAGGCGTTTTGCGATGCAGTTGCACCCGGCTAGATAGGTATTTGTACAACTATTGGGAGTCAGTATTTTTGAGGACGCATGCAAACGTTATTGAAGTATAAGTTTCGTACGGCTTACTTGTAAATGAAGTCTTTTGATCCGGCCACCAGTGAACCGGTGGGGCCCGAAAGACCCTGGAAGGACCAGAACCAACCATTACCAGATTTGCCTTGGTGACCACCAGCATGAATCACGCGGGTTCAGGGAGGCATTTCTCAGCCGTATAGAATGAAATAGAGAAAAAGAATTCCGGCTTAATTGGCAGTGGAGCTTACCATTTCATGAAAAGCTGTCCGCTTGATTAGACTAATTATATTCAGGGCCCATACCCGTTGCAGTTACGTCACATTCATTTATATTCACTAATTTTCTGGACAATAGAAGGGAATGCCCGCGATCAGGGTAAGAGGGGGTGCATAGTTTGCCTCCTGACATGGTCCGGCTTGGTCCTGCTCAGTTGGAGTTTTTTGTATAGTTGCTAGATTACTGTGGTGCAACAAGCAAACGCAGCCCGCGTCACCTAGGTACTCGCCTTGCAGCTGTAAAATGGTCAGCCAGGCCAAGCTTTCGCTGACTAGACTGTAATAAAAAATGAGTGACTCAAAGCAAAACTAATCAGTGAACTATGCTCTCAGCGGCCTTAGGTCGCTGCCGACTGTGTTTTAAAGTAGGTGCACTGGCCGCAAGGAAAGGCATACGTGTCTCCGATCTGGTGATCGCATTCATATTCAATCTTACACCAAGAAACAACATTTCAGTGAATGGCGGCCTTTTATTGTTGCATAACTTGATTATACCTTTGAAATGCACATCATGACGGAGTCGCAGCCCTTGAGGAGATCCTTTGACCGCAGGCCCAGGTACGCTGCTGCATTCATGATCCTCGCACCGTCCATGTGAAGCGGTATGTTGTGACTCCTGGCAAAATGGGCAGGCTGCGGTGCGAGAGAATCGTAATCGAATCCGAGTTCGACAGCTAGTCTGCCACCAATCAACAATCTCGCAGGTCACCACCGCGGACACCTCAAAGTTTAGGCCAATACTCGATTTGAGACTACACGCAGGAAAGCAAATCAAGGCCCGTCGGATTCACTAAAAAGTACAATGAACTGAGGAGGACACAGGGTGGAGACACAGCACCTTCACCGAAGCCCTTACTTCTCGGTTTTTATTCGGGATGCGACCACGTGACAAAAAGTGATCGTCGTCTTTATTCACTTTCATTCTGCCCGTATTTAGCGACGTCATGTAGCGACGCGGCTGGTATGACAAGGTTGCTTACATTCATAGTTGTGCGCACGAGGAGGCAGAGGGTAAGGAACGTTCCCCCTCCACCCACTTCACCATAAATTCTGCCTATACATCCACTTATTACGGGGATAGGGTCGCTGCGTTAGCTGCGCGGCATCCTCCTCCCCCTCTCCCACTATTACTTCCTCACTGCACTTGCAGGACTAAATTGCCTGACTGTGGCCCACTGAATGCGGTGAGTTTGAGACCCCTGCTACATTGTGCATGGATGGCTTGCAGTGTCGTCCCTAGAAAAACCATGTTTCAGTGGCCACAAAGTTTATGACGTAACGTTAACATTACCACGCGACTTTCGTCTGTTATTCGTACACAGATGCTAGAGATGTTGCAGCGGCATCGTTATTTTACACTGGAGCCGGTTAAATGTTACCCTATTTGCCTCCTATAGATTGCACCAACGCCACCGCACGAGAAGTGTATGCCTGCGCTTAAAAACCTAGTGAAATGATTGCTGCTGGTGTTATAGACCCATGTGAAGGGGATATCTTCCCTAGTGAGTGGTGTCAATGGCCATGCGTTGTGCGAAAAATCGGCATTATACCGCCGGTAATAGGCACAGAGTCCCAAAAAACGACGCACTGCTTTTTCGTCTGATGGAGTCTGGAAATTCGCCACGGCAGCAATCTTATCTGGGTCGGGTCGGATCCCTTGGCCGCTTACTACGTGACCGAGGAACTGAAGTTCGTAGAAGGCGCAGTGGCACTTTTCAGGTTTTAGCGTAAAACTGACCATGCGTACCGCTTCAAAACTGCTTCGAGCCTTCGTAAGTGTTCCTTGAAAGTCGCAAAAAAGACAATCACGTTGTCGAGGCAGAGCAAGCAGGTTGGTCAGTTAAGTTTTAACAGTACTGTTTCCATCAGATGCGGGAATGTTGCTGACGCTCAACACAAACCGAAAGGAAGTACCTGAAATTCATAAAGTGACAGGTGGTCTTCTCATGGTCCCTCTCAATTGATTGATTGATATGTGGGGTTCAACATCCCAAACCACCATATAATCATGAGAGACACCACATTGGAGGACTCCGGAAATTTAGACCCCCTGGTGTTCGTAACGTACAACCAAATCTAAGCACATGGGCCTGCAACATTACTATCTCTCTCATCCCCTTCAATTTACCAGTACACCCGCTTTTCAAGTTCATTGCCAAAAAGTAGCGTGCGTTGCGTGGTCTATTCAATGAAGCATCAATACGCGGTAGAGAATAGACGTCCTTTTGTGTGATCTGACTGAGCTTCCGGTAGTCGACGCAGAAACGCAAGTTGCCACCCTTATTTTTGATGAGAACGCCAGGCAATGCCCAAGGACTGTTTGATGACCGAATAGCACCCTCTTGCAGCATCATTTTCATTTGTTTTTGAATTGCTTCACACTCCTTTGTGGACAACGACAAGGAATTTGCCGGATGGATCTAACGTCAAAATCCGCGATGATGCGGTGTTTTGTCGGTGGCGTTTGACAAACTCAATGAAGTGTATGAGAAGCAGCCCTGGAACTTGTTGATCAGCGTAAGAATATGGTCTCGCTCAATGGTAGATAACGTCGGACTAAAGGCCCATATACACCGAAGGCGGTGCGTCAAACCAGCGAAGGTTTTCGAATGGGCGATGCGGCGAGTGCGTGAACCTGTTCAGACCACCCGCCTCCTATGGGTCGCCACGTGGCAGAATAGGCAGGCATCTCGTGCTTTTGCGCACATGTCCCTGTGCCGTGTCAGCGCTTCTCCCAAACGTACACCCGCGCAACTAGCGCGCCTCCGCTGCGTGGCGTTCTGATTGGCTGTAGCAAAGCGGCGAGCCTCAGCAGGCGGCAAAAAATTGCTCCGAGAGCGATCGCCCTTGCCGCCTGGTTTTTCTCCCGCTTACACCGCCTGGAGAGGAAGTTTTTCCCGCTTTCCGCGTTGCCGTTTCCGCATTGCCGTTTCGCCGCTTTGGCCGCTCCGCCTTTGGTGTGAACGAGCCTTAAAGGGACACTAAAGTGAAATAACACTTTACGTCAAAGTGAAAGCTCAATGTACGACAATAATCAGAACGATAATATTATCAACAACAGTGCCCTACTCACCGAGAAATTAAGGTAAAAGCACAAGAACACAAGCGTCGAAGTAAGACATTTTCAAAATGATCCTGATGACATCAGACGGACCACCTACAGATAATCACTAGTAATGGACCTAACTGCACTATATAAAGAACTTTCCGCGCATAGAGAGACGCATTAAAATGCTGCTTGTTCGCTTCTGTTTCATTCAAGGAAAAAAGAACCGCACGACGTTCCTATGAGGAATGACGCGAGTGGTTCAAAAATTCAGTTATCGCGTGGTTGGTTGGTTGGTTGGATGGATGGATGGATGGATGGATGGATGGATGGATGGATGGATGGATGGATGGATGGATGGATGGATGGACGGACGGACGGACGGACGGACGGACGGACGGACGGACGGACGGACGGACCGGCGGATGGATGGATGGATGGATGGATGGATGGATGGATGGATGGATGGATGGATGGATGGATGGATGGATGGATGGATGGATGGATGGATGGATGGAATAAGCAAGCGGGCGGGCGGGTGGGTGGGTGTGGTTGTATTTTTTTTTATTGTGCGGTGGCGAGTGCCACGAAGCCATAATACTTAATGAACCAAAAAGTAGATTTATTTATTTTTTTCTTTAAATAGTGAGCTTGAGGATTCGTACTTTGCAGTGAATGGTTTAATTTTCACTCTTGCCTTGACTTTAGCAACCAATCAGATAACCTCCTTCTAGTTAATTCTACCCGCTTAAAGTCTATTTTGCCCTCCCTGTCCCTGAACGCCAGTGCTTTGAAAAACTCTGTGTCATCATCCTGAACTATAGGGTGAACCCCTTTACAGAACATTATCAAGTGTTCGGCACTTTCCTCTTCCTCTCCACACGCAGTGCATACCGTGGCTACCCCTTCGTATTTGTCCCGATATGTATTGGTTCGCAGTACTCCCGTCCTGACCTCAAACAATAGAGAACTACCCCGAGTATTATCATAGATCCTTTCCTTGGCGATTTTCTGCTTAAAAAATTGATAGATCTCTAGTGCGGACTTCTTAATCATGCCAATTCTCCACATGTCGGTCTCAGCTTCCCTCACTTTCTTCTTAACCGATAAATCTTTTTGGTTTGGCTCTCCCTGCTGTTTTCTAAGTATTTACCAGTCAAGTTGCTGGTTCACTTCCTCCGTTTTGTATCAACAAACTGCATGTACAAGTAGCTGAATACCTTTCTAGCCCAACGCTCCTCCCCCATTTCTCTCAATCGCTTCTCAAATTTTATCTTGCTGCTAGTTTGCCTGCCCTTAAATGATGTCCATCCCATATCACCTTGTACTCCCTGATTTAGTGTATTCCCGCTAGCTCCTAAGGCAAGCCTACCTATTCCACGTTGCTTAATTTCTAATCTTGCTTGAACTTCTGATCTCATGCACAGACCGCGTTGTCGAACGTCAGACAGGAACCATGACCCCTTCCATATTCCTCTCACAACATCATTCCTATTGTAAGTTCACAGCACCCTGTTTTTCATTACCGCTGCATTCCTGTTACCTTTAGTCGTCACGTATATTTCGTGTTCCCTTAGCTACTCAGCCCCATGGCTTATCCATACGCCCAGATATTTGTATTTATCGGTTATCTCTAGCGTGACCTCCTGTATTCTAAAAACACTACCTTCATTGTCATTAAAAATCGTGACTGCTGATTTTTCCTTACTGAATCTCAAATCTAACCTATCTACCTCATTACCGCAGATGTCCATCAATCTCTGCAAATCTTCCTTGTTGTGGGCCATTAGCACTATATCATCTGCATAAATCAATGCTGGTAGTGCCTGTTCAATCAGTTTTCCTGGTTTGACGAAAGAGAGGTTGAAGCCCAGTTCACTTCCCTCTAATTTGGCCTCTAATCTTTGTAGGTACATCATGAATCATAAGGGTGACAGAGGACACCCCTGCCTAAGCCCCCGTTTTACTTCTGCAGGCTTGGATACCTGTTTTTCTGACTTTATAACTACCATGTTACCTTTATAATCAGCAGCAGCAGCAGTAGCAGCAGCAGCCTGACTACGTTGCTTTCTTTGGGAATCCAGTTAGTTACCCTTAATGACCACCTGTTAGCGTGTCTACGCGCTACATGCCCGGCCCATGTTCATTTCCTCATCTTGATTTCAACTATGATAGCCTTAACCGCCGTTGGTTTTCTAATCCACACTGCTCTTTTCTTGTCTCTTGAGGTTACACCTACCATTTTTCTTTGCATAGCTCGCTGCGTCGTCCTCAATTGAAGCTGAACCCTCTTTGTAAGTCTCCAGGTTTCTGCTCCGTAGCTAAGTATCGGCAAGATACAGATGTTATATACCTTCCTCTTGAGGGTTAGTGGCACTATACCTATCATAATTTGAGAGTGCATGCCAAATGTGCTCCACCTCATTCTTATTCTTCTAGTTACTTCAATCTCTCCGTCTTCCCTTCCTAACAGTGATATGTCAATCTGTTTTTGCGCAGTAGTCTGAAGAGCGTTCCTGTGGCCCTGGTTCCAATCAACGGCGAATCTATTCGCATGAAAAATCCGAAACTAATTCAGGAAGAACTCCGGAAGATTTCCGATTATTACCAAATGATTACTGAGGTGCGTCAATTTGGACGTGGAGGCATCCTGTGCTGCTCGCCGGACCAGGCCTACATCACAGAGCTACCAAAATGCACAACGTTCGCCTCAAATCCGGTGAGCTGTTTCGTACCTGTTCATTTGGCCTGTGTGAAGGGACTAGTTCGAGGAGTAGACTTGAGCCTTACACCACCCGAAATACTTGAAATGTTTGCAGCCGCAGGAGCAGTCTCTGTATTTCGATGCTCGCGAAACATTGAGAACAAAAAGGTTCCAACAGAGTCAGTGATCATGACTTTTGCTGGCACGGCTCGACCAACCGAAATTAAGGAATGGCCACTAATTTATCGTATAGATGCACTATCCCCTCGTCCTCTGCAGTGCAAAAAATGCTGTAGGTATGGGCACACCATCAAGGGATGCAGATCTGATGTGAGGTGTCACACATGTATTGACCAACATAAACCTGATAAATGTTCAACCCAAGAGGTGAGATGCTGTCTACGCAGAGGAAATCACGCGGCTGACGATGAAAGTTGCCCCATGGGGACATGTGAGTTGCAACTTCTAGAGATCATCGAACAACAACGATGCTCCCGATCTATTCTTTCTGAGCGCTCACGTGGCTATGCCACCGTTGCCAACCGGGCCAACCAGATGCTTGAGTCATCGTTGCCTGATTTAATAACATCAACAGTGGAAAGGGCAATGACGAAGCTTATGGATTTTCTAATCGTGAGCCTAACGGAGTCATTGGCACAAATAGTGAGCACTCAGTTGACTCAAATCTTGCAGGGAGGTAACCAACCTACCGTGCCCCCTTCTCTACCTTCACCAGTTAAGGTTACTGATATTCCATCGGAACCAGGCCCTTCAAAGTCAAAGACAGACACACCGAACTCTAGTCGTAGAATAACTATGCCTCTTGTACAGGACCCAGATTGGAGCTCGGACTCCGTTTCTCATGTCTCACAACCCGAACAAATGGACTCTGACTCAAGAAATATGAAAACATGTGCTTCTTCTGAGACACAACGCTCCTCAATTAGTACTAAATTAAGAAATAGGAGATATCAGAAGGAAACCCCATCAAAAAAGAATTTTTCAAAGAAGCGCATCTTAGAGAAAGCAGTG